AGTCTTTGGAAAAATCACCTGCCAGTTTTTCTTTACTCTTTATTCAGCAAATTCAACCTGGCAAACATAGGTTGACCATATATATTCAAAATTAATACCTGAATATTGTTCCTAGGACAATCTGTTAAGATAATTTACATTTATTCACCTTTTATACAATATTTTATAATAATGATAGTGCATATTTACAGAAGATGTACCAGGTGCCAGGTCTTCTCCATGTATTACCTTATTTAATTATCACAACAACTGCATGAAGTAGTTTCTCTTCCCATTCCATTTATAAACACACACACACATACACACATATACACATATATCATATTTACTTTAAGAAGACTGGAACAACTAGCTCAAGGTCATATATCTAGGAAACCAGAAAGACAAAAGTTGAACCCAAGTAATTAATGTTAGAAGCTCTGTGCCTAGTTCCTCTACTGTGCTTCCTAATCTCAAACCCTTACACTGAGGAGGCAGTGTTAATTTTTGTAATCTGTGCAGCAGACTCTTTTTATGTTCTACAGATTTTATCCCTGAATCCTTCTAGAAAGGATTGTATGCCTGGATACCTACTATTCTACCACTTCCCTACAGTACAACACAAAATACATAGACCTGTGAAGGGTTCCTCAGTTCCTTGGGGAAGGATTTAGTTGATTGGATACTTTGAATGTCTTTGCTATGCTTTGTTGTTCAAGGGATTATATGTCTCTCTCCCTCGATAAGCCTTTGGGTGGGTTGGCAGTCTCACACAGACCTTCTAGGCCTTCAGAGATGTCCTACATATGTATTTTCTCATTCCTGACTCTTTCATTCTTCTGGCAGCCTCTAGGGTCTCTCCCATACCTTTCCTAGAACCTGTCACTCCAAAGAAAGAATAAAGTTCTCAGTTTTCTTCCTTTGTCTTAAACATTTCACAGTTTAGTGATTTGTTGATTGCCAGTTGCCTCTTGTTCCGTTCATTGACTAGGGCTCTTCTAAAGATTTTCTCCTAGAGTTAATATTAACTAAAACAAAACACATTTAACTATTTATTCTACCCTGATGATTAATTTTTTAAAGAAAATAACTATTTTTCTACATAAGGAATTTATAATAACATAATTGTGACATTATTTCTTTAGAATAAACCAGACTATATTGTGTTAAGAGACATTTCTACCCTGATTGATATTGAACTATTTATCTGAAGTCACTGTTCATCCCCTTACCACAGCCCAGGTGTAACGGTGTATGGGGAATTAGTACATTTTATTTCACCCTGTTATATTTTTATTTTAGGTTGAAAGACAGAAAGCAGAATGGGAAACAATGCAGGTGGTTAGCTAAGTAGAAAGTAGAAATTTAAACTAAGATTCTAATCTCAAGATAAATCAGACTTGGCAGGTATTGCAGAGATTTTGTGTGGATTACAAATACAGTAGCCATCACGCCATCAACCAGACTTCATTGAATACTTGCACTTGTCAGACGCTGTGTTTTCACAACCAAAAGTTAAGACACATTACTTACCAGTACAAAATAATGTTTTCACTTTGGATTCTTCCCTGTGTGAGAAACTATAATGCTCTTATATCTGCTTGAGTCCAGATTCCTGTCTAGTAATCCATTTTTCACATCATCACAATCTACCTTTTTTATCTGACATAATCATCCAGTACTGTTTAAAATGTATTCTCTGCTTTAATCAGGCTAGCTTCCTTACACAATCCTGGTTCATATCGCTGTCGTTTTTAGTAGCTTACTTCTACTCTGTGCACCTTGCTCCTTTTCCATTTAGGATTCCCTTTGCCCTCTTTTCAACCTAGCCAAATTTAGTTCGGCTACCACTTCTTTCACCAATCCTTTAGTTTCCACTTCACTTCATACAGATCTTTCTTTTACTTAGTCTCCCATTATATATAACTACTATCTCTTCCACATAATTATTGTATTAGCCGTTCTAAACACTGCTATACAGAACTGCCCAGGACTGAATAATTTTTAAAGAAAAGCGGTTTAGTTGACTCACAGTTCTGCATGGCTGGGGAAGCCTCTGAAAACTTACAGTCATGGTGGAAGAGGAAGCAGGCATGTCTTACATGGCAGCAGGTGAGAGAGCAAGTGAAGGAAGCCAAGGGGGAAGAGCTCCTTATAAAACCATCAGATCTCATGAGAACTCACTATCATGAGAACAGCATGGGGGAAACCACCCCCATGACCCGGTCACCTCCCACCAATTCCCTCCCTCAACACCTGGGATTACAATTCAAAATGAGATTCGGGTGGGGACACAAAGCCAAACCATATCAATTATATGTAAGAAAGTCTTGTTTTATTACACGTCACTTTATTATGCTTTGCAGATACTGTGTTTCTGACGAATTAAAGGTTTGTGGCAACCCCGCATTGAGTAAGCCTGTTAGTGCCATTGTTAACAGTGGCATGTGCTCAATTTGTGTCTCTGTCATGTTTTGGTAATTCTCTCAGTATTTTAGACTTTTTAATCATGTATCTATTATGGTGATCTGCAATCAGTAATCTTTGATGTTACTATTGTAATTGTTTTGGGGCACCAAGAACCACACCCATATAAGAGAACAAACTTAATAAGTAAATGTTGAGTGTGTTCTAACTGCTTTATTGACCGGCCATTTTCCCATCTCTCTCCCTCTCCTTGGGCCTGCCTATTTCTTGAGACACAACAATATTTGAATTAGGCCAATTAATAACCATATAATGTCCTCTAAGCCTTCAAGTGAAAGAAAGAGTCAAATGTCTCACTTAAAATAAAAACCAGAAATGATTAAGCTTAGTGAGGAAAGCATATCAAAAGCTAAGATAGGCCAAAAGCTAGGCCTCTTGTGCCAAACAGCCAATTTGTGGATGCAAAGGAAAAGTTCTTGAAGGAAATTAAAAGTGCTTGTCCAGTGAACACACAAATGATAAGAAAGCAGAACAGTCATATTGCTGATATGGAGAAAGTTTGAGTGGTCTGGATAGATCCAATCAGCCACAACATTTTCTTAAACCAAAGCCTAATCCAGAGCAAGGCACTAGCTCTCTTTAATTATATGAAGGCTGAGAGACAGGAGGAAGAAGAAAAGTTTGAAGCTATCAGAGGTTGGTTTATGAGGCTTAAGGAAAGAAGCCATCTATCATAAAAGTGTGATATGGTTAGGCTTTGTGTCTCCACCCAAATCTCATCTTGAATTATAATCCCCCTAATCCCTTCATACTGCTATAAAGAACTGCCTGAGACTGGGTAATTTATAAAGGAAAGAGGTTTAATTGACTTACAGTTCAGGTTGGTCGAGGAGGCCTCAGGAAACTTACAATCACGGCAGAAGGCAAAGGGGAAGCAAGGCACCTGTCAGGGGAGAGACCAGGTAGAGGTAATTGGACTATGGGGGTGATTTCCCCCATTCTGTTCTGATAGTGAGTTCACATGAGATCTGATGGTTTTATAGGGGGCTCTGCTCGGCATTTCTCTTTCCTGCCGCCTTGTGAAGAAGGTGCCTTGCTTCCCCTTTGCCTTCTGCCATGATTGTAGGTTTCCTGAGGCCTCCTCAGCCAAGCTGAACTGTAAGTCAATTAAACCTCTTTCCTTTATAAATTACCCAGTCTCAGGCAGCTCTTTATAGCAGTATGAAAATGGACTAATACAAAGTATAAAGTGAAGCAGCAAGTACTAAGGTAGAAGCTGCAACAGATTATGCAGAAACTCTAGCTAAGATGATGAAAGTGACTACACTAAACAACAGATTTTCAATGTAGACAAAACACCTTCCTTTGAAAGAAGATGTCATTTAGGACTTTCATAGCTAGAGAAGAGAAGACAGTGCCAGGCTGCAAAGCTTCAAAGGACAGAATGACTCTTGTTAGGGAAAATGCAACTGATGACTTTAAGTTGAGGCCAGTGCTCACTGAAGATTCTGAAAATTCTACAGCCCTTAAGAATTATGCTGAATCTACTCTGCCTCTACTCTGTCAATGGAACAACAAATCCCGGATGACAGCACATCTATTTAAAGCATGTTTCCTGAATATTTTAAGCTCCCTATTGAGACTCTGTTGAGAGCAGGAAAAAAAGATTTATTTCATATTACTGCTTGTTAATAATGTACCTAGTCACCCAAGAGCCCTGATTGAGATTTACAAGGAGATTAATATTGCTTCTTGCCTGCTAATACAACATCTATTCTGCAGCCCATGGATCAAAGTATAATTTCAAACTTCAAATCTTATTATTTGAGAAATATATTTCATAAGGCTAGACCTGCTTCAGTGGTTCCACTTATAGATATGGCAAAGTAAACTGAAAACCTTCTGGAAAGGATTCACCATTCTAGATGCCATTAAGATCATTTGTGATTTGTGAGAGGAGGTCAAAATGTCAATTTATCATAATAGAAATTTGGAAGAAGTTAATTCCAAGCCTTATGAATGACTTCAAGACTTTAGTAGAGGAAGTACCTGAAGATGTGATGGAAATAGCAAGAGAACTAGAATTAGAAGTGGCACCTGAATATATGACTCAATTGCTGCAATATTAGAATAAAACTTGAGTGGATGAGGAGTTGCTTCTTATGGATAAGCAAGAAAAAAAAAGTTTCCTTAGATGGAATGTATTGCTGGTAAAGATTCTCTGAACATTGTTACATTGTTGAAATGACAGCAAAGGATTTAGAATATTACAAAACTTTGTTGATAAAGCAGTGGCAGGGTTTGAGACTACTGACTCCAATTTTGTAAGATGTTCTATAGGTACAATGCTATCAAATACCATTACATTCTACAGAGAAATCTTTCATGAAAGGAAAAGTCAATTGATGTGGCCAACTTCATTTGTTGTCTTATTTTAAGAAATTGCTGCAGCCACCTAAACCTTCAGCAACCACCAGCCCCTGCTTTTTTTTGTCACCCAAGTGGGAGTGCAGGGGCACCACCATAGCTCACTGTGACCTCTGTCTCCCCAGCTCAAGCAATCCTCCTGCCTCAGCCTCCCAAAGTGCTGGGATTATAGGCATGAGCCACTGCACCCGGCATATCGACCACCACCCTGATCAGTCAGTCAGTAGTCATCAATACCAAGGCAAGACCCTCTATAAGCAAAAGATTATCACTCACTAAAGACTCATGAGCATTAGCATTTTTTAGCAATAAAGTATTTTTAAATTAGGATTTGTATATTTTTAAACATAATATTATTGCACATTTAACAGACTATAGTGTAGACATAACTGTTTATGTGCACTAAGAAACCAAAAAATTTGTGTCATTCCCTTTTTTGTGATACTCTATTGCAATGGTGTGGAACTGAACCTACAATATCTCTGAGGTATGCCTATACATAATTATATACTATTTTATATTGGTTTTGAGTCATTTCATGCATGTAAATTTGAGTGTCTTAATTAAATTGCAATACCTTTAAAGTCAAAGACTGAGTCTTCTTTGGACTGTGTATTCTCATGACAGTGAACTATTGACATGGCTCAAGACGTTGACCCGTTTTGGTTCCTGATGAAGTTTTGTTAATTTAAATGAGAAAAATAAGGACAGTGAAGTAAGTTTTTTTATAAAACTAAATTTATTTGGTTTATAAAACAGTTTAATATTATACCCTTCCTATATTTTTTGTGTGAAGTTATCTCTTTTTCTAGATGATTATAATAGATGATAATTTTTAAATGTTTCTATTTGTCAAAGTACAACATTGTCAATCCTGTGTCAATGTCTAACTTTTCCTTGTACTCATTCAAATAATCTCATAGTCGGAGCTTATTAAATACTTATTGTGTCACACAATATCCTGGTAAACACTGAAATGGGGAGGGGTTACTTTCATTCTATTTTAGAGTGGCACAGTTTCTATGGTATAGTGACTAATCTGAACTAATATGTAAAAGATTAAGAATCACTTGAGAATCATTTTCAAAGAATAACTTTTTAAAATGTAGCACACTGCTGACTTGTGTAAAAATTAAGTGTGTTGCTGAACTTGTTTGAAACTCAAATTTTTGGACCCCACCCACAGACCAACTGAATCAGGATCTCTGGGTTTAGGAATTTTAAACTCACACTTTAAAGTAGTTCTGCAAGTGATTAGGATGCAGATGCTTCATGGAGTTAAGAACAACTGCTATCCTAGCAGGCTGATACAGATGTAAGTTTCTATCTCATTTCTGCCAGTTACTGGTCATTGTTTCCTGGATAAGGTTTCTAAACATCTTTAAGTCTCAGTTTATTCTTCTATAAAATATGGTTACTAATAAGGCTGCTGTGGTGAAGGTTAAATGAGATAATGGATATAAACTAGTGTTACAATGAAAGTGGTCAATAAATATTAATTTACTTCTTTTCCTTCCTTTGAAATTCCATTGTACTTCAGTGATGAGTAGTGTAAAGAGTTTCTGATTCATGTACTAGACATTGCTTTTGGCCGCAGATCTCATCACTGAACCAATCATGTGTTACTAAAGCTCCTTTTCTTTTTTTCTTTTTTTTTTTTTTTTTATTACTCTTGAAGCCAAAGTTATCTCATTTGCTATTAAGTTGCAGAAGTACAGTACTTTCCTAATCCCCAGGCTTCTGCTTCTCCCATCCTTAACCGGCATGGGACCCAGTGGAAGAATTAATGGACTAGAAATCGTTTGGGTATTGATTTCCTACTTAGTAAAATGAGGGACTTTTTCACATGATTTGATATATCCTTTCTGTTAAAAAAAAAAAAAAGAAAGGTTCTCACTTTCATGTCACACATAGAATTGAGAAGACATTATTAAGTTATCCCACTATTTTACCACTTGCCAATGTAGGCTCCTAGATTTATGTGGAAGAAAATTGTTTCATTTCAGAGAAGAAAATAAGCAGAGAATCTACTAGAATCAGTTTTTACTTGACATTGTCATCTCTTTGACTTAGAAAAGGGATGTGGTAGAGAGAGAGAGCAGCTAGAGATCTAAGGGCAGGAAAACCATGCTTTGAGGAACCTTATCCCATATCAGAATCTCAGTAGCTCTTCCCTCTGTTTCAGCCTCACCTCTTATAGGAGTTGTTCCCAAGTGGGAGGTGAGCTCTTTTTATATATTCAGAATATATATAATTCAGAAATTGGGAGATTCGAAGTAAGGTGTAATGCATCAGTTTGCTAGGGCTGCCATAACAAAGGATATTGGAGTGGTGCATCTACAAACCAAGGAATGCCAAAGATTTGCCAGCAAACCACCAGAAGCCAGGGAGAGGCATGGAACAGATTCATCCTCACAGCCCTCAGAAGGCATCAACCTTGCTAATATCTTGATCTAGTACTTCTAGGCTCCAGGACTGTGAGACAATGAATTTCTGTTGTTTAAGCTACCTAGTTTGTGGTACTTATCTTCACATGGCATTCTTGTGTGTATTTGTATATCCAAATTTCTTTTTTTTAATAAGGACATTGATCATATTTTATTAGGGTAAGACCCAACCTAGTGACCTCAGTTTAACTTGATTTCCTCTACAAAGACCCTATTTACAAATAAGATCACATTCTGAAGTGTTGGGGATTAGGATTTCAACATATCTCTTTTGGAGGGCACAATTCAACCCATAAAACATGGTTCACAGCATCATGAGCCAGAGGCTTTCCTGGGCAGGATCTGTATAAATAGCCTGAGGGCTCAAACCGGGACAAATATACCAGCTTGCCTCAGAACAAAATGCAATTCCTGGATTTTTACCTCCTTTGAAAACTGAGTACTAATTACTTATTTTTATATTACCAATGCTCTTTGAGTGCAACATGCTGAGTACATGTGATTCATTTTATTTTTCTTAGAAACAGAGCTCTTAAAAAGCACTGTCTGGATATCTTCAGAGGGAAAAAGGAGAAAGTTAATTGAATCGGTGACACTTCAGATCTCTCACAGAGGAAGGTAAGGTTTCAGTCAACAGCACATAGAGGATTATCCTCATTTACCCAGGACTGACAATGTTTGTGAATTCTAAAGCTGTGCATGTAGTGAATATACAAGATAAAATTGAAATAAGAATAATGGAATAGCAGTTTAGAAATGATTAAAATGTGCCCAAGCCCTGAGTTTTCAGATAACATGATAGTTTTCTAATAGTGAACATGTTTAAGATGTATAGCCATAAAAAAGATTTAAAAAAGAAAGAAACAGATGTATAGCCAACTTTTAATAATCTGTGCTATACACTCCATAGCAGGTCTGAAGGTAGCTGTATACCAGCAGCAGAAGGTGTACCCTGGAGCACAGTTTTGTGGCAGTACTCCCAGCTGACCAGCTGAGGACTAGTGACCCTACTTAAGAACAGTTGGCTAAGAGGATAGTCAAGTGAGGGGAATGTGCTACAAGAGAATCATGGTAGACAGAGATGCCTACAAAAGGGAGTGTCTGTCTTCTTGTTCCTTTCTGATCTGTAGAACCTGCAGGTTCACTGTAGAGCTCCCATTGGAGCACAGTGGAGCATGAAGAGAGAATCCTTAGGAGAGCTTACCAAGGAATTTGGGGGAAGAGTATGTTTACAAACATGGGGAAAAGTATTTACTTCTCATTTAGATGTTCTGCAGGCAGAAAGCTTACTAGTGTAGGCTGTGTTTGTAGGGCTGCAAGCCACCAAAGTAAAGATTACTTGGAAGAGAACCAATCTTTTCTGAAGCTCTGTGTGAAAAGATACAGTGGTCGGGGTGGGGTGCAGAATCTCTAGAGCAGCTCATACAACCACAGGGCAAAGAGAGGGAACCCCTACACTGAAAAAAAGATTGCAGCAGGGATGGAGGGCTAGTAGTTTTAGGACAACTAGACACTTCTGAAAGTGAGGACTTCCGAAAGTGAGGACACCAAACCAACAGAAGCCACCAGGACAGCACACAGCCATTCCAAAATTCCAAACTAGGATCATTGCAGAAAAGCTTTACATCCCAGTCTAGTATATGGATGGTTTTGTAAGATGACCTATGATTTTTCTGTTCCTCCTTCCTGCCCCTAACTTCAGAGAAACAGACCTGGAAAGAGGGAAGGGAGGAGTGAAAGAGCGTGCTATACTTTACCTTCTCCCCTTCTATTTTAAACCGGACAAATCTATATTTTAATTATTAAAAGTAACCAGAAAGTTATATGGTCTGTCCAGGATGGCATTAAAGAAAATGAGAGAGAAAAGTTTAAGATAGCATGGTTGGAGACAATAATTGGAAGAAACCAAGTACTTCAAGTTATATAACGCCCTGTCTTATAAACACTCTCGAACCAGTAATAATGCTATTACTGGAAGACATCTTCAGGGTTGAAATGCTACACATAACTGAAGACTACTTGTTAGAGCAAGACCTTAAGAACTTCTTTACTGACTATTCCCAACATGTGGCGCTGGTAATCATTAAAGAATCATTGTATTGGCTGTTAAACATCTCAGGATCCCCTGTTTAAATCAAATTAACAAACACTTATTTAACAAATACATATTGATTGCCAATTATGAAGTAGATGCTATAGTAGGTGTTGGCAGTATAAATATGAAGAAGACATTGTGTGTGCATATTAATATACAGCGAATTCAACTTCAGCCAGAGAAGTACTATATTAGAAGGTTGATAGAAGTGTGGTGGTAGCTCCCAGGAGGAAGCAGTTGGCATCCTTGGAAATGAGTAGTCTTCACAGAAAGTATGACATTTGACCTGCTTCTTAGAGGAGATGCATATTAAACCTATTAAATCCATATCAGCCTTTAACACCTTTGCTCAGATTAGTTTCTTGACCTGTTTTTCCACCTGGTGAGCAGATAAGAGCAGGACAGGAAAGTTCTGATGAAAGGAAGAAGTGCCACAGAGAGAATGCCTTGCAAGGAAAGAAGCCGGGCAGGCAGGACCCCTGAGTATCCTAAGGAGAAGTACCAGCGATTTAGGGAAGAAAATTGCTGCCAGAAGGGCAGGAAATAAAAATTATGACCTAGATCATTTTACTTATGTCTTCTCTGGTTCTGTGAATATATCTCGAGTGTCCTTTTATAATCACATTTCATTAACCAGGCAAGATTAATCAGTGACCACATAGGACAGTCACTGACTCTTAAGACCTTATGCTTTGAGGCCGGGCGCGGTGGCTCAAGCCTGTAATCCCAGCACTTTGGGAGGCCGAGATGGGCGGATCACGAGGTCAGGAGATCAAGACCATCCTGGCTAACACGGTGAAACCCCGTCTCTACTAAAAAATACAAAATATTAGCCGGGTGTGGTGGCACGCGCCTGTAGTCCCAGCTACTCGGGAGGCTGAGGGAGGAGAATGGCGTGAGCCCGGGAGTCGGAGCTTGCAGTGAGCTGAGATCCGGTCACTGCACTCCAGCCTGAGCGACAGAGCGAGACTCCGTCTCAAAAAAAAAAAAAAAGACTTTATGCTTTGAAACGATGTGTACAAATGTATAGAGAGACACGTAGACCAGCGGTCTCCAACCTTTTTGGCACCGGGGACTCATTTTTGGAAGACAGTTTTTCCACGGGATGGGATGGTGGAGCAGGAGTTTGTTGGGGGCGTTGGATGTGTGGGGGGTTGGTTTCAGGATGAAACTGTTCCATCTCAGATCATCAGGCATTAATTAGATTCTCATTAGTAGTGTGCAATCTAGATCCCTCATATGAGCAGTTCACAATAGGGTTCACACTCCTATGAGAATCAAATATGCGGCTGATCTGATGGGAGGCAGAGCTCAGGCAGGTGGTAATGCTCACTGACGGCCACTCACTTCCTGCTGTGTGGCCTGGTTCCTAACAGGCCACAGACCAGTACCTGTCTGCAGCTAGGGAGTTGGGAACCCCTGATTGTATACCAGTAAAACAAGGGCTGATAGAGCTGCTAATGCCAGCCTCAAATGAGTGAATGAGCAAATACAGAAGTACAGTTCAAGTATACAGAAGTTCTCTTCATCCTTGTAGCTCTTTGAAGTTTTGATGATTCTACTTTGTATTTTTAAGTTCCAATTTTAATGCAATGTGTGTAATTGAGTGCTAGTTGTGTAATTTGGAGCAAGTCTCTGCGAGATCTCTTTTTTAAAAAATAATCCAAAAACTAGAAGATTGGACTAAATTACCACTATGATTCTTTTCAAAGCTATCTTAATTTACGACTATTTGAAGTTACTTCAGTCAGTGCTAATGATACCGTAGTCACAGATTTGAACCACTGAGATGCAATTCACTTATTTAAAAACTACTTGATAAGGGTTTGTTGGGAGGATTGCTAGATAAAATATGGGACACCTAGTTAAATTTGAATTTCACATAAAGAATGAAGATTTTTAATGTAAGTATGTTTCATATATTTGAATATGTAAAAATATCCAAATATACTTAAAATTTATTTGTTCTCCATTTGAAATTAAAGTTTAACTATGTGTTCTTTCAAAATCTAGCATTCTTACATCTATGTTAGCTTCAATATAGAAGCTACGCTCTGTGGAAGACAAAATGGTGTATCAGTCATAGATCCTTCACTCAGTCTAGAGGGGCAAATGAGAGTCAAATATTAATAATGATATTACAAAATGAGTTCATGAGAAATACCCTTAGAGAGTGCTATAAAGGTTTTGCAGGAGGGACAAATTACTTCCAGCTACAAAAGCAAGAGAAGAACTTGAGCTGGGCTGAGAAAGATGGCAGGATCAAGGCTTCTGAATGTGATGTGAGGAAGAGGTAAGGTCATTTCCAGTAGAGTGAACGGCTTGAGTAAAAGCATGGAGATGGGAAAGCACAGAGGAAGAGAGGAGAGCTAATCATTTGGTTTGACTGTGACTTGATTGGGTAAAGGGAAATTAAAGCAGAAAATATTAGAAAGGGAAGGCAGGGGCATACCAAGGGAGCCAGAGGTAGGAGGGATGAAGGCTAGAAATCTGAATAAGCAAAGGCATTTGATTTGATGCTTGAAGGTTTTTGATCCAAGGTGACACTGCATGCCAATAGCGACAAGGGAGGGTGTAAAGAATCATCCCAAATGAATCACTTCCAAGAAAAACTTGGAAGTGTAGTTTTTAACACATAGCTTAAGAAACATATTACGTGAAAAGGAAATATAGGTAAGTGGGAAAATCACAAGCTTAGGTATGAAAAGATTCTGGGTTCAAACCTACATTCTCCTTCTGTATGATTGTAAGTTATTTCCTATCTGAAACTCAGTTCCTTGCATATACAAAAGACTACAAATGCTCTCATTATGCTTGGAAGTTATAAGTACCACTGTATACCTGGCATATATTAGGAGCTCACTAAGTACTAATTGCCACATGAGTTATTATTTACTTATTACTTATTCTCCTCTAGTCTTCAGAGTATCTTATTTTATTGTAGCAGGTGAAAATGCTCCCAAGAGATTAAAAAAATTTTTTTCAAAATATTTTTATTTTTATGAAAAAAATCTTTTTCTTAAAATAAAAAACAACATATCTATCTGAACTTAAAAAAAAAAAAAGGAAAAATTAAGAAGCCAGTATTTGGAAAATTTGGTCCAAATACTTACTTTAAATTGATTTCTTCAATACTAGAGAAAGCAAGATTTTCTTCCTAATTGATATATCACATGGTTAAACCAGGAACCCTGGGAAAAGCTGGGATATCTTTCGATAATTATGAAGTGAAAGCAAGAATTTCTATTTAATTATTTACAGCCTGACCAAATAGTATAGAATTTAGGTCAGCAGGTGAACCAGGGAGTCTCACGAATCCTGTGTACTTAAAGGAATAACAAAGCAGGGGGCTCATGGCCCGTGAAAGCCAGAGTGAAGGGGAGAATTGAGCAGTAATAGGCTCATTTTTTTTTTCTTTATAAAGACTTATTCTGGGCCTGGCGTGGTGTCTCACGCCTTTAATCCCAGCACTTTGGGAGGCCAAGGTGGGAGGATCAGTTGAGCTCAGGAGTTGGAGACCAGCCTGGACAACATGGTGAAACCCTATCACTACAAAAAGTACAAAACTTAACTGGGTGTGGTGGCATGCACCTGTAGTTCCAGCTACTCAGGAAGCTGAAGTGACACAACCACTTGAACCCAAGAGGCCTGGGCTGCAGTGAGCTGAGATGGTGCCACTGCACTCCAGCCTCAGTGACTGAGCAAGACCCTGTCTCAAAAAAAAAAAAAAAAAAAGACTCATTCTGAATAATTGCCCTTGTTTCTGATTTTTTTCCTCTAGAATTCTGATTTTTTCCTCCATCTCAGTTGTGTCTTTGTCCATTAAAATAGGCCACAATGATTGATGATACATTTGTTCTCTGAGATAGCACCTAGAGGAACGGTTACCAAAGTGTCCTGTGCCATGTCAAAGGCTGAAATAACCACCATTGCTGAAATTATGTGTTTATAGATAACACCTCCCTATTTTGGCATTTTTCTTTCAAAAATGAATTATCACCAGTACCTGCCTTTATTCATGTATTTTCTCCTCAGCCTCGTTGCTGAGTATCTAAAATAGATTTGCAGCTGAAGAACTACTCATTCCCTTGTCTTCCCATACCAGGCCTATAGCCTGCTTTCAAACTTATTCCTATGCACAGCACAACGTGAGCTGTATCTTAGGTTTATTCTCATACTTTGTATTCGGAGTCAATAAACTTGGTAAGTGCACAGCTGTGACACAGTAGGATTCCTACAGGCTTTAAGCAAATGTACGTGATTTTATCAGTCCCAGAAGACTAGCCCTTGAGTGATTTGCTTGGGTAACATTTTTGGCAGTGCTTCTTTCTTTGTTTTTGTTAATATTCTGGATTCATGTTTATGAGACTCTCAAATTTATTTCAGATTAGATGAAGGTGACCTTCCCCTTCGCCAAGCGGAATCTCCCATGAGACTCATGAATCCTCTTTAGGCCAATTACAGCTATCACTTGTTAACTATTGGAGTACCTTCAGTCTTAAAAGAGCTGCTAGAAAATTAAGGCTGCAACATGAAAGAAGAGCAAATGGTCAGGCATATCACACGTTTTTATCAAGTGATTTGGTTTAGGACTTGATAACCTGGTTAGTACTTGAGCACTGAGAGACATTTTGAATTTAAAGTAAGATGGAGAAAGTGAAGGAAGCTAAATTACAGAAGATAGAAACACAATCAATCATATTCAGAACAGAAACATCTTGGGCTTGATGTCTGGGAACAATGAGAAGATTAGGCTGCTTTAGAACTTAGCTCTCATTTGTTGTGGTGACCTCCACCTGCAAGAGGACACTCTCCCATCCCCGTGAGACTGAGGTGAGAATCACAAGACCACTGCCCTCTGTCTCATCTTTTCTCCAAGCCTTAGGCCATCATGGGATTCACTAACATCATTCACACGTCAGGAATGATATATCAGAGTGATCCCCTCTTTCCTGCTCATCTTTCTGCCTCTAGAAAAGACAGAATTTCACTGTTTACCTCAGGAAACATGAAAGTTAACGATAAATATAAATGATAGATGAAGCAAACATTGAAAGCTATAAAGTTGAAAGTAGGACCTAATACCCTGTGGTAATGTGTGCTCCTTTTTAAAAGAAAACACACATGAGTCATTTTAGAAAGGTTAATTTGCGCTACCTCTCCAAAATATTCTCAGAATAATTGCAGAGAAAAATTGTGACAAAACACTAGAGGCACCATTGGTGAAAGAAAACTGTATATTCTTATCTTTCAATCAGGAAAGAATAATATTTACTTGATTGAAATGATTTTTTTCCTCAGAAACTGTAGTACTGGCTATTAGAAAACAGATAATTTAAACTATCATTTCTCAGAATGTTTTATCTCCATGACTCAAAGATAGTTTCCCTCCGTGAGGAAATATCGCAGTGTTTGTTTTTGAGTTGTCATCAATACAAAGCAGCAGTACCTTCACATATACTGTGTTTCCAGCTTTTCAAAGCATTTTCACTTGTTTCTCAATTGTTTATTACAATAATAACCCTGTGTTGACATTATTATCTTCATTTTACAAACGAGGCAGCTCAGATTCAGACATTAAGGGACCTTCACAATATATTTAGCTGATGGTGGCAGAACCAAGGCAAAACCCAAAGTCCTTGCCAAAGACCACTTCCATTTGTCTTCAACGGACTCCCTGAGTTTTTCATTGTTGTTCTTCTGTGGTATGGCTGAAGCCCTCCAAATTTGGAAAAGACAAGCAAGTACAAGATAGGCACTTAGATTATCATTCCTCAACTGGCTTCTCCACAGGCTTTTCCTCCTAATATATAAAAAACAGCAATAAAGGACAGAAGACTAACATTTTAAACACTGAACTGTTGCTCAAATTTACTCCTCCTGTATAATATAATTTGTTCTTATAAGGTTGTAAAACTGCACTGCCTACTTAAATTGCATGTTTCACATGTCTATACTATTCAGCTCCTTTTCTCATCTCTGCAGTGCCTACCCCCAACATACTACTGGCTAAACAATTCCCATGAAACAGTGTTTGAATTTAAGAGGCAGGATTGCGAGAAACACAAATGGCCATCCTCTCATATATGTGCTTCTATCACAGAAATTTGATTGTTCTCTAAAGGCAAGCATGGATTTTTTTTTTTCTTCCAGCAGCTTCAAGGTAATTATCTACTTAACCTGCATAGTAGCAGTTGTTGGGGCTCAGAAAACCTGAAAATGTACCATTTTGGTATGCTAATTATTTAAACTGAGGGCACTTGGGAAACAGCAAATACAGGAAAGGGCTCTCTCTGAACTCCCTTAAGTGCCTGAAGATAGGGCCTCCAAAAAGTAACACAATTGTCATAGGTATCCTCCCTGGGAGTCTCATCAGTGAAGGAAGATTAATTCACAGGAGACTCCATCCTCCAGAAAGACTTTGTCACAAACTATCCATCACCTCTTCTTCCGATGAGATTCTTGGAGACAATGTTTATTACCTGAGAGATGTTATCTGTATAACAAGACAACCTTTGTTCTCCATGCATTCCCTCCTCTTACTCCCCTGCAACTTGTAGAGACACCACCCCCCATAAACCACCAACCCCTACTTCTATCTTTAGCTCGGGATTCTATAAAAACTTCTATCATCTGGCCCCTCTTCAAGTCCTCTACTTTGTGGGACTCCTATGTGTAATTAAAATAGCTTTTCTCCTACTAAACTGTCTACTGTCAGTTTATTTCGTAGATTCAATTATTGAACCTTCAGAGGATAGAAAATTTTCTCTCCCCTACACAATTATAAGAGTAATTTGGAATTTTACTTGTTGTTTTATATCATTAGTTATCTTTATTTATATACACGCATATGTCCTCTCACTTTATCACTCCAAATGAAGTGATATGCACATATATATATAAAATACATATTTCATATTTCTATGTCCTGTTTTCCCTCCATCCCTTGCATTTTGCCTTGTGTATTGTTAGTGTTCAAATAAATATTTGTTAAACAAAAAGGAAATGAAAGAATGAAAAGTTCTACAAACCTATCAATAGTAAACAATAGTGGCTGTACTTTTCTTTCAGAGAAACAAGTCAACAGTTTTCAAACAAAATCAGTCTTGGTGATATTTCCTAATGACTTAGCAGTCAACAATTCCCAGCTCAAAAAATTAAAAAAAGATAAAACAATACATTACCTTTATCGTTATGAATGTCTTCAAAAATAATTTGTTCATTATAAATTTAGTTATGATTTAATTGTTTTGTGAAACCATTGGGAATATATTTCATTTTGTTTCTTGTTCTTGTAGGGAAGAAAAACTAATTTTCTCTGTACTCTGTAGTTCTTAACTGCAATTCCTGGTAACAAAAGACAAATCAACAAGCAGAAGTTTATTAAAATGTATACTTAATGTTACATGTTACATGGGAGAAGATCCAGAGAAATGAGTACATCTGTGCAGCAAATCTCAAAGTTTAAACTTTAGGATAAATGCCATTGTTTTTTGATACAAGAAAGAAGGATGCAAGGAAAGACCCAGCTCAGAGGAAATGACTAGGAAAAGTATCTTAAACAAAGGTAATGGGGAATCCTAATTAGGGAAAGGGAGTCAGGCTGGTGGGACCAAGGGAAAGCAAAAAGAAAAAGCAGATAAGCTATAACTCTGCCTTTCTTCGTGGTCCAGAACACATAGCTCTCCTACACAAATAACTCACAATCTTCCTGTGTCCAGCTATCACCAGACTCTGTTGATCAAAAAATGCAAGTTAGCTCACTGCAACCTTGACCCGTTATCTGTGTTGCACAAAGCCCTCTTCAGCACACAGCACAAGCACCATGCTATAAAATCACCAACAAGCCTTTGTCTCTTTGTAGTCAGCTCCTCTCTTGCTGATTTGCCCGCGGCTGTCTTACAATGTGTTTTCCTACTTTCTCTAGTAAATCTGCCTTTCTTTACCTCCAACTGTGTTGGTAAATTATTTTAACCACCCATCTGGCACCGGCCCCAGATAGTCACCATCTGCAACAGATAAGGATGATTATGCAAATTTAAGTCAATACCTTTTCCATTTTGTTTAAGAGTCATTAGTGATTTAGTGTCCTTTTCTTCCTGATGCAGGGAGAAAGACCCTTACAAATAAAGTTTCCTTTTACAGTTGTAAATTTCTCTTTCTAAAAAAGTAACTTTTTAGGGCCAATTCTGTGTCTGGTATTTCTCAAAATAACTCATTCAAAATAATATGTCAAAGATTTAGGGTGACATATTCTGTTCTTCTACAGTCATATTTTGGAGTAGTGTACTTTGAGCACTGCCATATTCCTGTTTAAAACTTTCCCGAGAAGTTTCACAATCCAGAAACTGAGTTGGTAGATTATCCCATGACCTAGGACTTTTTTATGAAAACAAAAGGAAAAGGTTAATAGTTAGAATAAACTATAACCTAGTCTTTTAGTTTGGAGTGCAGACAGTCAAGAAAGTTTCTAAATGTTTGCCTTAAAGCATCTTTTGCAGTTTGAATACCTCCAGTGATGGCTGAGTGGCCCACAGCAACAAGCATGAAGGTTGTCCATACATGAGCTGTTACGATGATTCATCTGCAGTTTATATCAAGTAGTCCAGTTTTAGCTCACAGGGCTTTAGTAAAGGGGCAGTCTTTATTTTTAGTGATTCCATGTCAGAAAGGTGGAAGAAAATTTGAAATGTTAGTTTTAAGAGTTTTGCAAAGTCTTAGCCAAATATTAGAACAATTCAGGGTCAGTTGAAGTTTATAGGTAGATAGCAAAACCTCAGAGACAATAAACAGGAGTAGAGTCTAATAACAGGTGTACCATAGTTTTCTATTGGAACATAATTTTTCTCTCTACAGCCACCCCTACTTCTGCCAAAGATTGTTGCAGTAAGAATAATTAGTTTACAAAATAAGTCTACTGTTGTCATGTCCTGATTATTTAAGTAAGTATAGCAAGAGTAGTGATTAACCAGAAAGGCTCTTTTTAAGTTGGCTTCACTGGAACTTTAATAAGAAATCTCAGATTGGACTTTTTAAAGCATCATAAGACTAAGATGCCAACCCAAGAACTTGCCATCAGATATTGTAGCAGGATAAATTTTTTTTCCTGTCACTCCTTTTTCTGTACTCTGCCTATTTCTGTGAAAAGAGAGAGTTAATTAAAAAAAAAAAAGATTGATATTCAGCATAATAACAGGCAGTCAATATTAGCAAGAGTAAGGGGTTTTGGTCTAATAAATACTATGTTTTAAAGAAATTAAGAGTTCAAAGCCTCACTTGAAGATTTACAATATCAATCTGATGTCACCCCTCAGACTGAAGCCAGGATATTTGCTTAAAACCTTGATGCCTTTGAAGATTCCACTTCAGGATGGATTCAAGTACTTGGCATTGGGTGTGGGGATAAACAGAGGATAGAAAAAGTATAAAGAACCTTGGAAAGAGAGAGGAAGACCAGAGGGAGAGAGAACAATGTGCATGTACTCATCTGGGAACCAATATTGTGTAGTGGTTAATGTCAGCTTCTCTGGAATCAGATGGCCAAGGTTAAAATCAGCCACCTTGTTAAATGAGGAATATAATAGTCATAACATCAAATAATTATTTTAAGGGTATAAACTTTCCCAAGAAGTTTCACAATCCAGAAACTGAGTTGGTGGATTATCCCATGACCCAGGCCATTTTTATGAAAACAAAAGGAAAAGGTTAATAGTTAGAATAAATTATAACCTAGTTTTTTAGTTTGGAGGGCAGCCAGTCAAGAAAGCCTTAAACATCTTTTTCAGTTTGAATACCTCCCCTGCTAGTAAAGATTTATTTTATTAGCAGTGTGAGAACAGACTAATACAGTTAATTGGTACTGGTAGACTGGGGTGCTGCTATAAAGATACCCGAGAATGTGGAAGTGACTTTGGAACTAGGTAAAAGGCAGAGATTGGAAAAGTTTGGACAGCTCAGAAGAAGCTAGGACAATGTGGCAAAGTTTGGAACTTCTTAAAGACTTGTTGAATCACTTTGACCAAAATGCTAATAGTGATACGGGCAATAAAGTCCAGGCTGAGGTGGTCTCAGATGAGGTGGTCTCAGGAGCTTATTGGAACCTGGAGCAAAGATGACTCTTGCTATGCTTTAGCAAAGAGTCTGGCAGTGTTTTGCCCCTGCCGTAGAGATCTGTGGAACTTTAAACTTGAAATAGATGATTTAGGGTATCTGGAGGAAGAAATTTCTAAACAGCAAAGCATTCAAGACGTGATCTGTTTTTTTTCTGAAAGTGTGCAGTTATATGTGCTCACAAAGAGATGGTTTGAATTGGAACTTATGTTTAAAACGGAAGCAGAGCATAAAGGTTTGGAAAATGTGCAGCCGAACCATGCAGTAGAAAAGAAAACCCCATTTTCTGGGGAGATATTCAAGCCTGCTGTGGCATAAGTAGCAGAGCATAAAGGTTAGGAAAATTTGCAACCCAACCATGTAGTAGAAAAGAAAACCCCATTTTCTGGGGAGAAATTCAAGCCTGCTACGTAATCAGCAGCCAAATGTTAATAGCCAAGACAAATGGGAAAATGTCTCCAGGGCATGTCAGAGATCTTCATGGAAGCCCCTCCCATCACAGACCCAGAAGTCTAGGAGGGAAAAATGGTTTTGTGGGCCAGGCCCAGAGCTCTGCTGCTCTGTGCAGTCTCAGGACTTGGTGCCCTGCATCTCAGCTGCTCCAGCTCCAGTCATGACTAAAATGGGCCAAGGTACAACTTGGACCATGTTTCAGAGGGTGCCAACCCCAAACTTTGGCAGCTCCCATGTGGTGTTGGGCCTGTGGGTACGCAGAAGACAAGAGCTGAGCTTTGGGAGCCTCTTCCTAGATCTCAAAGGATGTATGGAAATACCTGGATGTCCTGGCAGAAGTCTGCTGCAGGGGCAGAGCCCTCATGGAGAACCTCTACTAGGGCAATGCAGAAGGGAAATGTGGGGTTGGAGTCCCCACACAGAGTCCCCACTGGGGTACTGCCTAGTGGAGCTGTGAGAAGAAGGCCACCATCCTCCAGCCTCCAGAATGGTAGATCCACTGACATCTTGCCCCATGCACCTGAAAGTACCACAGGCACTCAATGCCAGCCTGTGAAAGCAGCTGTGGGGGCTATACCCTGCAGAGCCACAGGGGCAGAGCTGCCCACGGCCTTGAGAGACAACTCCTTGTATCACTGTGTCCTGGATGTGAGACATGGAGCCAAAGGTGATTATTTTGGAGCTTTAAGCTTTAGTGAGTGCCCTGCCAGGTTTCAGACTTGAAAACAAAGTGCCTATGACCCCTTTGTTTTGGCCAATTTTGCCCAATTGGAACAGAAACATTTACCCAATGTCTGTACCACCGTTGTATCTTGGAAGTACCTAATTTGTTTTTGATTTTACAGACTTGTTAGGTGGAAGGGACTTGCCTTATCTCTGATGAGACTTTGGACTTACACTTTTGGGTTAATGCTAGAATGAGTTAACACTTTGGCGGACTGTTGGGAAGGCATAATTGTGTTTTGAAATGTGAAAAGGACATGAGATTTGGGAGGGACCGGGGCAGAATGACATGGTTTGGCTCTGTGTCCTCACCCAAATCTCATCTCGAATTGTAATTCAAATTGTAATCCCTAGGTGTCAAGGAAGGAACCTGGTGGGAGGTTATTGGATCATGGGGACAGTTTCCCTTATGTTGTTCTCATGATAGTGAGTTCTCACAAGATATGATGGTTTAAAAGTATGGCAGTTCCTCCCCTTGCTCTCTCTCCTGCCACCGTGTCAGATGTGCCTTGCTTCTCCTTCACCTTCTGGCATGATTGTAAGTTTCCTGGGGACTTCCCAGTCATGTGGAACTGTGAGTCAATTAAGCCTCTTTTATTTATAAATTACCCAGTCTTAGGTAGTTCTTTATAGCAGTGTGAAAATGAACAAATACACTTTGCTTACACCATATACAAAACTCAAATCAAGATGGATTAAAGACTTAAATGTAAAACTGCAAACTATGAAAACCATAGAAGACAACCCAGGCAATACCATTCAGGACATAGACATTGGCAAAGATTTCTTGCTGAAGACACCAAAAGCAATTACAACAAAGCAAAAATTGACAAATGGTATCTAATTAAACTACAGAGCTTCTGCACAGCAAAGGAAGCTATCAACAGAGTAAACAGACAACCTACAGAATGGGAGAAAATTTTTGCAAACTATCCATTTGACAAAGGTCTAATACCCAGCAACCATAAGGAACTTAAACAAAGTTACCAGAAAACCAAAAAACCCCATTAAAAAGTGGGCAAAGGACATGACAAAACATCTCAAAAGAAGACATACATGTAGCTGACAAACATATGAAGAAAAGCTCAACACCACTGATCATTAGAGAAATGCCAATCAAAAGCGCCATGAGATACCATTTCACACCAGTCAGAATGGCTATTACTAAAAAGTCAAAAAGCAACAGATGCTGGTGAGGTTGTGGAGAAAAACGAATGCTTTTACATTGTTTTTGAGAATGTAAATTAGTTCAACCATTGTAGAAAACAGTGTGGTGACTTTTTAAAGACTTAGAGGCATAAATACCACTTGACCCAGCAATCCCATTACTGGTATATACCCAAAGGAATATAAATCATTCTATTATAAAGACACATGCATGTGTGTGCTCAATGCATCACTATTCACAATAGCAAAAACATGGGATCAACCTAAATGCCCATCAATGATAGACTGGATAAAGAAAATGTGGTACATATACACCATGGAATACTATGCAGCCATGAAAAGGAATGAGGTCATGTCTTTTGCAAGGACATGGATGGAGTTGGAGGCCATTATCCTTAGCAAACTAACGCAGGAACAGAAAACCAAATATTGTATGTTCTCACTTATAAATGGGAGCTAAATGATGAGAACAAATAGATATATGTTGAAGAACAATACACACTGGGGCCTGACAGAGGGTGGGGGGTAGAAGAGAGAGAAGATAAGCTAGAATAGCTAATGGATGCTCGGCTTAATACGTGGGTGATGGGATGATCTGTGCAGCAAACCACCATGGCACATGTTTACCTATGTAACAAGGTTGCACATCTGTCATATGTACCCCTGAACTTAAAAGTTGAAAATTTAAAAAAAAATCATTTCTATTTGGGCTTTAAAAGTAATTATATTGGCACATCCATGCCTTTTATCCCAACAGGTTCTTCCTATCCACTGCACAAACAAAATCAATTGCCACAGAGACCATGTCATTGCAGTGAAGAAAAATTTAATTAACACAAGGCTGGCCACACCACTCAGGAAATGGAGTTATTACTCAAATCAATCTCCTCAAAGACTTGGAGAGTTTTTCAAAGACAGTTTGGTGAGCAAGTGGCTAGGCTATGGGGAGTGCTGATTGGTTGGGTCAGAGATGAAATCATAGGGAGTCTAAGCTGGCCTCTTTCACTAAGCCACTTCTGGGTGGGGCCACAGGAGTTGTTGGTGCATCCAGATGGAGCTATCGGTTGTCAGACATGCAAAAAACCTGCAATGCTATCTCAAAAGACCAATCTTAGGTTATGCAATAGTGATCTTACCTGCCGAAGTAATTGGGGAAGTTGCATATCTTGTGACCTCTAGAATCATGGCTGGCTATCATTTATATCTACGCATTAGCAGAGTTCTGGCTCCTCTATCTTCCTAGCCTGCTGGTCTGTCATTAACTTCACAAAGGTGGTTGAGTTTGGGTAAGTACTATTACCACTTAAACTGTAAACTAAATGTCTCCCAAAGTTAGCTTGCCGTAGACCTGGAATACTAAGGGCAGCTTGAAGGGTAAAGGCATGATGGGGGTTGGCTAGATAGATCCCCCCCGGCCGTAATTTTCTCACTTATAAATTTTGCAAAGGCAAAAATTCACAACACATTAAATAAAATAAGGAAACTTCATTAGAGATTTGACATAAAGTAGCGTAGAGATTTTATGATTCTACAGAGAACCTTTTTTTGGTTTTGTTTTTATAAGTGGGCTTATTCATCTTTCTCAGAATGGATGCCCTGAAATGATGAAACTGTCTGCAGTACTGGGAATTCACATGATATAAACAAAATCTTTTGATTTAGTTAATTAAACCAGTGAAGTCTATGTAGTAGGAGAACAGTTTGACTGAACTGTTCTGTTATTTTAAATTAGTAAACTCCTGTGGTTGGCATTTACAAATAATGTTGGCCTTTTTCTCTCTAATGCTAAATCTAAGGAATTTACTTCAAATAATATTTCTTATTATAACCACCAAGTTTAGGATTGTGTTATAAATAAAATACTTTAGATTGGTTGATCTCATATAATATCAAATGTATCCTCTATTTAGTGAAGATATGAAAGAGGAATCAAGAGAAGCACGTTTTCTGATATTTGAAATCCAGTCTTTTTTCTTCTAACTATGGAAGCCCTAAAGTGTGAGATCTTTGAAATATTCATCTTTTTTTTTTTTTTTTGTATGAGCTGCAGGTGTCTTCTGGATAAGGTAGCTAAATATGGACTGGTTGCCATGAGAGAGAAAATGTGATATTAATGTGGGGTTTGTTTTGAGAGAATAAACCCCTGCTGGCAACAAATAAAGGCATAATTTGATTATTCTAAAGAAACTTCTCTATAAACACACTGAGATGACTTAGTAAACAATGAAGAAATGTTATGCAATAGTTTCGGCAAGAATTATACAGAAAGCAATAATGGCCAAATATTGTTTGTAAGATTAAATATTGAAGAGTTGTCATTTGTGTGGGGTAAGACCCAAGGTTTGTTGCCTCACACCAAGGATACTGAGGACGTAGACACAAACAAGGAGTGAGTTTAAGAGTGGAGGA